GCCTCCCTCCTCCACTTGTAAGGACCCTCATGATTACACTGGGCCCATCAAACAATACAGGCCTCTCCCTATTTTAAGGTCAGCTGACCAGCAGCCTTAATTCCAGCTGCAACCTAAATTCCCCTTTGCCGTGTAACCTACATATTCACAGGTTCCAGGGTCAGGATGTAGACATCTTTGCAGGCCATTATTCTGCCCACTATGCCCATTTTATAGATTACTTACTACGTGGCCTTGAGTAATTTTACAGTCTCTCTGAGCCTGAGGCTTCTCATCTGTAAAACACAGAAATAATACCCACCCTGCCCATCTCACAATGTTGCCCTGAGAATTTAATGAGATAGTGTATGTAAAAATGCTTTAAAAATGGTAAAATCCCATGTCAACATAAATGTTGCTTTTAGGGGGAAGGGACGAAGGGGATGTAATCTTTTGTGAGTATGTGATACATTCTATGCAAGTACTATAAGATGGCTTATCCCAGATGGTGCACATCTCTTCCCAATTCCACATTCAGTGACATCACATTGGTATCTTGAAATCAGCCATGGTGGGAGTATTTACACCATGGAAACCGGCAAACACTACAAATTAGGGTGCTCCTGCCCCCACCCCAGAGAACCAGGTGTTAAACATTTAGCAGCACATCATAGGTTTATCCCATTGATCCAAGAAAACCCACCTGAAATGGTGATTATTCCTTTATAGTAGAGATGAGCAAAGTAAAGCTCAGAGACAGCGATAAACCTGCAGATCACACTGCTGGAGAGAGTGGCGAGGCCAGCTTGTCAGACTCTCCAAGGCTCTGCCTTTCCACCTCACCCTCACTGCAGTACCACACCCTCCAACTCTGCCTTCCCTTGAGAGTACAGTTAGTCTAACTGTCGAAGAGAATTATGGGACTTGACAGCATGTTCAACGATGTAACCATCATCCTAAGGCGGTAAGATGGCCATTTTTGGCTGTGGAAATGAGGTTTCATGGGGCTCACCCAGGTCACTGCCTACAGTGGTGGTCCCTGTGCATTAACCTTGAAACAGACTGGACCTCAGTTGTATTTGGAGCCTTCCACTCCAGAGTTTAGGCGGCATCTGAAAGCAGTGAAATCTTCATTGTCAACTGCAGAGGTTTAAAGGGATTTGAGGCAAGCAAATTGCCAGGTCACTCAAAATCAAAGTGCCACGTGGCTTCCTTTTAGACAACCTGGAAGTATGTGAAGGTCAGCAAACACAAGCGCTTCATTCAGAAATGGATAAAGTAAATAGCAGGCTGGTATTCTTTGGGAGCAGTTACTGCTGGCAATTGGAGAGAGAAAAAACCTGACTTTCCTTTATGCTCGATTTTAATCAGGTTCCTATTCTTCTGACCCTGTCCTAACTTTTTCTTACTAAGTTTTGGGTTTTATCTGGAATGTGCTCAAGGCGTAAGGAATCTAAACTAGTCAGTGGTGTGAGGATTTAATGAACACAAGAGCAAAGGCTGCACATCTGACCATGGTTCTCCGTCTTGGCTGCACATGGAATCCCTGAGGATCTTTGAAAGCACCTGCTGCCCAGGCTGCGTCCAGACCAGCTCATCAGAACCTCTGGCGGTGCCCTGGGATCTGAATGTGTACATTAAAGCTCCCCGGTGACTCCCCCATGCAGCCAAGGTGGGACCCACTCCTGTAGGGTGTATTTTCCTTGCTCCCACCTTACGTTTCTATTTCTTGGGTTTTTTGTTGTTTATAAAGAGTCTGTTTGTTCGGAAAAGCTTAGTATCCAGTTACAACTTGAGGCCCTGGCTCTGCAGGAGGTGACAGGCCTCAGAGTGTTTTCTAGAAAATGTTTCAGGGAATAAAGAAGCCCCACACCTAGAAAACCGGTTCTCCCACCCCCGTGTGACATCACCGGCAGCCAATAAAAAACTTCCATTTGAGTTTACCGGTTAGCGTCTATATTGATTAAACCTAGAAATTGCTGGACAAACCCTGTAGGATTAGGCTCCCCTGAAACTGCTCTTTTTGTGAGAGAGCGCCCATTCTCTGATTTGCGCTTGATCCAGCCTTTGATCAGCTCTCTTAGTTTCACCACGTTTTCTCCAAGGCTGTTGCCGTATTGGGAGGAGGAGGGTTGGAGTCCACAGGCAGGAGAGGCCAGGTTTCAGAGTAAACAATGAGGATTCCACACCCTGAGCTCCTAGTGAAGCTGAAACCGAAGCTTTAGGCAGACTGTTGCTGCCACCTACCGGCAGTGATTGGTGTTGACTAGTGAGAAACACTAGCCAGCCCCCTGGTGGTGGGAGAGCCCAGCCGGACCCACCTCATTCTGTTGCTCCATATTTCCCTAGCAGTGCTGTAAGCAGAAAGGACTTTCCCCGTAAATGTACTAGATGGGGTCATGAGAATAGGGACATGCACTCATCTAGTGGTTTACATTATCTTTGGACCATGTCCATGGGAATCTTAAATGAGCCCGCCTTTTGTAATGTTTCATATTCTGTGATGAGAAAATTTTGATCATGTGTTCAATTAGGGCCTAACTTAAAACTTCTGGCCATTGAAGGCTAGGGAGGTAGGCAAAGCTGTCCTGATGACTGGGAGGAGCAGGAAGACCAGAAGACGCCACCCTGTGACAGTTCAAGAGTCGTTCAGCAGATGTTTGCCCCAACTATAGCCCCTCAACATTGCTCAGAAATCATTAGAAACACATTTACTTGGCTTTAAGATACTGCCATCAGTAAACAAACCATGGAACTCTCTGGAAAGGTTACTGTGTGCATCATTTATATAATAAACATATTTATCAGATACTTTCCAGAATTTTATGCCACATTTATTAAACAACTGCTAACTAAGATGCTCTGCGCTTAGCACTCTGGGGGATACAGGTATGAGTCAATTGTGGTCTCTGCCTTCAAGGAATTTACAGTCTTGTTGGAGAGGGAGATGAAGCTACTAACTGTGACCAAGACAGAACAAAGAAGTGCCATGATATGGGAGCAAAGTGCTGTCAAATCTGGAGGTGGAAATCATTGATTTTGAGTGCGGTGCTTGGGTGATGCTTAGACCAGTGGTTCTCAAAGTGCGATCCCCACCCAGCTGCATGAGCATCACCTAGGAACTTGTTCGAGATGCGGTTCTCAGGCTTGCCCCAGACCTTGTTTTAACAAGGCCTCCAGGTGATGCACGCCAAAGTTTGAGAACCACTGCTTCAAAGAGAAGATGACAGCGAATAGAAAGAGGCCTTGAAAGATACACAGGACTTTTATAATTAAGGGATGGTGGGAGGGCTTTTATCCTAGTCATCCCTTACATTTGTATGGTGATTTACACCCTATTATCTGATTTGACTTTTACAACAACAGGACCTGAGACAGAGAAGGAAGCAGAACAAGTTTAGTTTTGGAAGCCAATAAGAATTGGGTACAAATCCTCACTGACACAAAGCCATGTTAGCTGGGGCAAGTCCTTCAACCTTTCGGAGCCTGCCTTCTCACCTGTACATGGGAACAGTAATGTTCACTGTGCGGATTTTTGGTAAGGGTTAGATATGAAACATCTAATTCAGAGAGTTGTTGCTCACTAGATGGCTATTATTTCTATATATTATTTTTATAAACCCCTATTGCCCGTGAGAAAACTCAAGTTTGATTGTGGATGTGAGGCTGCCCCTCCGGTTCCTGACTCTCGGTGGGCTGGTTTCCTTACCCCATGGTTTTCACCATGGAGGGGGCCTCCACAAAGGCCTTCTCGCTCTTTATATATTTGTCAGCATCTCTGGGTTTACCATGTGTGGAACTGTAGAGGGCTCCACTGGTTCAGTGTGGGAAATGGCAGCCACGGAGGCAGAGCTGGAAGAGAAGTAATTGAATATCGAGAAGTATCCATAAGGCTGAGTTGCACTTAAACACCAGTGAACATCTCACCTTCTCCCCCAGTCAAACTAGCCCCTTTTGGGGAAGAGATATACATAAACCCTCTCCTGTTTCTCCCAAGTTTAAGGACAAAAGTGGGCAACTTTTTATAACCTATAGGCATTGGCTAGAGACTTGAACTCTAAGAATTTAGTAAGTTTTTCTTTATATGTGTAGCATATAAACTGTGGGAGGGAGTGCTACTGGCACGTAGAGGGTGGAGGCCAGGGATGCTGCCAAACATCCTACAGTGCACAGAACAGCCTCCACCACCAACAAAGAATAATCTCATCCAAAACACCAGTGGTGCCAAGGTTGAGAAAGCCTGCCCTAAAGTATCTCACCATCATCCCACAGTCAATGTGTCAAAACTCAACACAGGGTCTCCCCAAGTTTGGCTGTCTCTACTTGATTCCTTATTGTCCTCCCCACTCCATCTGGCTCAAGCCTTTAGTGCTCCCTTGAAACCCTCCTGAGCTTTGCTCCATGAATCCGTTCAGTCTCCAAGGTATGTGGATTCGCCCTGAGCTAACATCTGTGCCAATCTCCCTCCATTTTTTTGTATGTGGGACACCTCCGCAGCATGGTGGACAAGTGGTATAGGTCTGCGCCTGGGATCCGAACCCACGAACCCAGGCCACCAAAGTGTAGCGCACTGAACTTAACCACTACGCCACGGGGCTGGCCCCCTGATTTTTGCCCTATAACATATTTCTGATTCATGTCTTCCCATTCCCACCAGTCTAGTCAAGTATTACTCTTCATTATAGTTTGTCCAGGATCCTCTCTGCTGGATTTGTACTCCTGGAGCTCAGGAATCCTGCATTTTCCTCTTTGAGTCCTCCGTGTCCAGTCCAGTGCCCAGTAGGTGGAATATTTAGGGAGAAATATATAGGAATATATAGGAAGGAAGATTTCTGGCTCAATAAAAACACAAATTTCTAACAATTCAACAAAAATGTACACATAAAATTTACATCTATCTTTTAACGTGTATGTCATTATGGCAAATTTTATTTTAATTAGATGTGCTTCATAAAGGAAGGATCAATATGATGACATCAATTTTAAACTTTCTTTGGGAAGTCCCACTCAATCATCTTTGCTGTGTACTTTTTACCTCTTAATTTGCTTATATTACTTTTGTCAAATAGTAAGTCCTGCAGAGACCATAGGTCATTGGTGGCCTATCACAGCCTGTGGTGCACAGTTTGTTTTCTCTTCCTTCCCTCAACTGCCTCCGCACTGGGGCTTCTCCCGCTCCCCTGAGCCTTGTTTCTTCTCTCATCTGCACACTCGCCCATACCTCTCCAGTTCTTTCTTCTCCTCTTTCCTGCCACCTTACACAGCTAATACCTGCTCACCTTTAGCCACTTTTTAGCTTCTGTGCTGAATCAGAAGAAATACGTCTCAGGGAATCTTCAGGATTTTGTCTTTTTTGTGTTTTTTTGATGAGGTGATGCTTCTTGGTGACTCTGCCATTACAAAATGGAGGGTAGAAAAAACATTTAAACAGAAATAGAGAAATTTCTGCAACGTGCTCTCATTTTCCTCATAATTTCTTTACTTTAAATTTTATTCACTTAATTTCTTAGTATCTGCTAATCAGTCAATGACCATCTTATCTATATAGAGGTACTTCTCCACATGTATCTATATGTATACATGATACATACATGTACACATTTCATATTGGTTTCCAATGAAACAATATCGCTAGCATATCCAACTTTGCTTGAATCTGGTTTGCTGATTCAAAGGTGGAAATTCTTTCAAGATCAGAGACTAGCTGCTTTAGTCATTCCCACTGGATTTAACATCTTTGAAAGCACAATATTCCTTAATAAGTCACTGGAGAGCTTGTTCAGCCCAGCAAATTTAGCCCAATCAATGGAAGTATCATGTCTGTTTTCAGTTTATGTCATGTACTAAAATTATCCTTTACATGACTAACAATGTTTTAGAAATGAATATTAACCTCTTCATCCTGTTCCAAAGAAGAATTTATCATTTTTACAGCTTCATTATTTACTGTTTCTGAATTATAATCTGCTTTCTTGTCAGTTTTCTCTTTAGAAGCAATAATGTCCCCTCCGGAGACCTAATAGGGCCAGTTCAAGGAGCCAATCAGACTGGATATGAAGACCTCAAGGTACATAGCCTGGATTATTATTTTTTCTGCTTTTAAAACAGAATAATCCATGTCAGAATAGTGACTATCACCATATACTTGAGAACATTTCCAGGGGCTCACCAGGTTGGGTGAATCTCTATCAGGCCTTCAAATCAGCGTTTCCAAATAAAGAGAACATTAGTTCTAGGAGATGTCTTGCAAAAAAAAGGAATTCGTGGCCAAATAATTTAGGGACATGTAATATAGGTCCCTCTTGGGGATCGCAATGCATATTAGAATACTATAATAACCAAGCAGTTCCCAAACCTATTTGATGTCAGGAGCATTTATGGTGGAGTACTTACTAATATCGTATGGAATTAACCTAGGGAAATTTTTCTTTGAGTGGCGCCATAGAACCTGCAAACCACCCCATGATGACACAGCCAAGGACCACCTTCCATGAGCCTGGATTCAGACTCACTGTTATTGTGTATTTGTTCATGGACCATCACATGATCTCTGTACAGTTGCAATCAACTTACTCACTTCTTCTGTTTTGTGACATCTTCCCTTGCCTTCTTCTTTGTCTATGCTACACTTGCTCTGAACCACAGCCCAACATTCAGATAAGAATGCAAATGATTCTTGCCCAGGCTCAGAGCCTTATGGAATCAGCATCACAGCATCCAAGATTGTCAGCGCTGTATAGTAGCCAAGAGACAACCTGCCTTCTTGCTACTGGGAGTGGGAAAGGGGAAACTGGAGGGTGAAGAAGCTCTGCCCTTATGCATAGGTGCTGCTATGGACATTTGACACTGTGGCCTCCTGCTCATACACATCTGTCCTAGCATGCAGCTGGAGAAGTCTATCTGAACCTTCATTAATTCATTCATTCATTCACTTGAGAAGTATTTATTGAGAGTCTTTATTGTGTATCAGGTATGGTAATGAATATTGGGGACAGTGATGGACAGAAAGGCACCTTCCCTCATCTCTGGAACCTACAGTCTAAAGGAAGACCCACGTGTTAGTACCATTCTATCCATTTCTCTATCATCTGCTTAACAAAACTTGTGATAAATGCTAAGATGATAGTATAAGGGGGCACCTAAGTAAGATTTGCAGGTTAGGGGAAAGCCTCTCTAAGCGACATTTACCTCTCCCCAGAGGATGAGCAGGAATTAGCTAAGTGAAGTCTGGAGAAAGAGGTGCCTGAGGGCAGTAACGTGTGTAGACGCTGAAGCGAGAGAGAGTTTGGTGTGTTCCCAGCATGAACAAAGGCTAGTGCTGGGGGTGCTTAGAGTGGAGGCTGGAGGGGTAGGCAAACAGGAGGTCACAGAAGGCTTTGTGTGCCTAGTTCAGGAGTTAAGATTTTAAACAATTCAAAAGTCACACCTTTTACAAGAATCACTCTGGCTGTTGGAACTGAATTGGAAGGACCAGAGTGGATACCAGGAAGCCAATGAGAGATACTTGTAGCTTGGACAAGGGATGTTGATGATGGAGATGGAGATGGAGGATAGATGGGAGAGAAATTTAGGAGGCCACATAAAGAGTGCTTGATAAATGGTTGGGTGTGGGAGTGAGACGAAAGAGTCAGCAACGAGCCTTGGGGTTCTGGCTTGGGCAACTGCATTTGGGGCTTTTCTTGCAAACCCAGACATTACTCTTGATCATCTCTGAGCTTCTGGTGTCATCATTACTGAGATAACTGGGGAGTTATCCCTAAAATAGTCCAAGTTTAATGTCAAAGGAGAGGAAGACGACAAGATAGAGGGGTATTTTCTCTCCACCCCTAGAAATGCATTTCTCACTAGAAAAGAAATAAAAAAGCTCCAATAATAAACAGCTCCCCAATGGCAACATTCTGCTATCATAAGTAAGGGTTTTATTTGTTTTTCTTTTTCTGTTAATATCTTATGAATTTTAAATCTAGTCTCTTCCCTTTGCATGCTGGAGGGACATTTATAAAGACCATTTTCCATTTTGGGTCATTGGCACAGGGAGTCCTGAGATATCCTCTTCAGGTTCAAAACACAGTAATCCTTTGCCTTGTTCCTCCAAGACTACAACATGATTGCTGAGTAAGACACGGAGCTTTACCAATTCCTCCATTCCCTGAAAGCACTCAAGGGCAGAAAGGAAGAGGGCACGATTGTGACCTTCTTTTGTACTCATTGGAACTAATGGATACTGTTATGGCTTTAAGTTCAAGGATAATGACAGTGGAAAGCTGGCCACATCACTATAATAGCTTTATTAATAGTTGAGAGGAAAATTGCCTTTATTCTTCCAACAATCATAAATGGCTTTCCCATTCACAAGGGCATTTTCAACTTTCATGGAGTTCTGAGTAATTTCTAAAGAGGAAAGGCCATGGTTGTTGTTATGGGTTGAACTGTGTCCCCCCAAAATTTTAGGTGGAAGTCCTAACCCTCAGAACCTCAGAATGTGACCTCATTTGGAAATAGGGTTGTAGCAGATGCTATTAGTAAAGATGAAGGCATATTGGAGGAGGTGTGGACCCTTAATCCAATATAACTAGTGTCCTTATAAGAAGAGGAAAGAGACATAGAGGGAAGAAGGCCACCTGACAATGGAGGCAGAGATTGGAGTGAGGCAGCTACAAGCCATGGAAAACCAAGGATTGCCAGCAAACACCAGAAGCTAGAAGAGGCAGGAGGGATCCTTCCCTACAGCTTTCAAAGGGAGCATGGCCCTGCAGATTTCAGACCTTGATTTCAGACTTCTAGCCTCCAGAACTGTGAGACAATAAACTTCTATTGTTTTAAGCCACCCATGTTGTGGTACTTTTTTATGGCGGTGCTAGGAAACTAATACAGTTCTAATATTTGAAAATATCTTGGAGATCATTTAGTTTATTCTACAAATGTGGAATCATGCTCAGAAAGGTGGAGTGGGGGCCCGGCCCCGTGGCTTAGCGGTTAAGTGCGTGCGCTCCGCTGCCGGTGGCCTGGGTTCGGATCCCGGGTGCGCACCGACGCACGGCTCCTCCGGCCATGCTGAGGCCGTGTCCCACATACAGCAACTGGAAGGATGTGCAGCCATGACAGAAAACTATCTACTGGGGCTTTGGGGGGAAAAATAAATAAATAAAATCTTTAAAAAAAAAAAAAAAAAGAAAGGTGGAGTGGTATGCCCAGAATCACCCAGTTCCTTTGCTATGACCAGAACTGGGCAGTCCAGTTCCTGTGGGTCAGGGTTCTTTACAGAGGCCAATAATCAGAGATCTGTGCCAAACAGGAATTTGGCAAATCTTTTTGTTGTTGTTGTTGTGTGTGTGAGGAAGATCAGCCCTGAGCTAACATCCATACCAATCCTCCTCTTTTTTGCTGAGGAAGACCGGCCCTGAGCTAACATCTATTGCCAATCCTCCTCCTTTCTTTCCCTTTTTCTCCCCAAAGCCCAAGTAGATAGTTGTATGTCATAGTTGCACATCCTTCTAGTTGCTGTACGTGGGACGCCACCTCAGTATGGCCAGACAAACAGTGCGTCCGTGCGCTCCCGGGATCCGAACCCGGGCCGCCAGTAGTGGAGCGCGCGCACTTAACCGCTAAGCCACGGGGCCGGCCCCGGAATTTGGCAAATCTTGACCAGCTCTGAGAAAAAAGCAGAGGACCAAAGCGATAGAGAGGACTTCGAGAGTGTAGGGTGGAAATGCCAGGAGCTTCAGACATGGTGGGACCATGCTAGAAAAGCCACCAAAAGAAGGACAAAGAAGAGCAATAAGGCTGTCAGTAGATTCACAGAGTGGTGCAACCACCACTACAAACAGTTTGAGAACATTTGCATCACTCCAACAAGAAATTCTATGCCCATTAGCAGTCGTTTCCCATTTTCTCCCAACCCCCCAGCCCCAGGCAACCACTTATCTACTTTCTGTCTCTATGGATTTGCCTATTCTGAACATTTTTTATAAGTGGAATCATACAATATGTGGTGTCTTGTGTCTGGCTTCTTTCACTGAGCATAATGTTTTCAAGGTTCTTCAGCTCTTAGTTCTAATATCAAGGTAGATTTCAGGGCAAAGAACCCCAGCATTTCCCTGAGAAGATGTTAGATTTCTAACAGCATCAGGGAGCCATATTTCTCAAACTTTATGGAACCAGGTTCTGCATCCATTCTTTTTCCGGGCCAGAGATAAGGTAAAAAGCAAAT